TCAGGGCTGACATTAGGTGGTCTAAGTTACCCCATTTGGGGGCGGCGCCCCCCATTTGCAAACTATGACACTTTCCTAAAATTTGTCATTTGCATATGTAACTAGAAGAGTTCTACTACAATGCATCAAATGACCTGGAGTTATTTTACCAAAAAATAAAAAAATTGGAGGGGGTACTCCGACAAACTTTTAATAATAGCTCATTTTTCGTGGGTCACATTTTTAATTTTTTAACCTATTAGATATGCAAACTTTTTAAATCTTTCTATTGTGTTATGTAACCTCAGTATTGGGCCTTTGATGGCCATTGACAGAATTTTTCTATGTTGAATCGTTTTTGAGTTTTGGGGGTTTTTGTTAATAAAACGAAAAGTGGTCAAAGTTACCCCATTTTACGGTGCTTTAGATTGCAGTAGAAAGTGTCAGTTTGAATTTGAATGCTCTAGATTGTATTAGGTTATATTAGATTGAATTAGAATGCATTAGATTGCATTAGAATGCATTAGAATGCATAAGATTGCATTCGAATGCATAAGATTGCATTAGAATGCATAAGATTGCATTAAAATGCATTAGATTGCATTAGAATGCATTAGAATGCATTAGATTGCATTAGAATGCATTAGATTGCATTAGAATGTATTAGATTGCATTAGAATGCATTAGATTGCTTTAGGTTACATTAGATTGCCTTGGTTACATTTGATTACCTTGGGTTACATTAAATTGCTTTAGGGTGCAATAGATTGTGTTAAAACACAATAGATCGCGTTAGAGCGCAATAGATCGCGTTAGAACGCAATAGATGAGTTAGAACGCAATAGATCGCGTTAGAACACAATAGATCGCAATAGAAAATGTTAAAATGCAAGAAATCGCTCTAAAATGCAATAGATCATGTTAAATGGCAATAGATCGCAGTAGATCGAGTAAGAACGCAATATATCGCGCTACATCGCGTTAGAAAGCAATCGATCGCGTTAGAACGCAATAGATCACATTAGAACGCAATAGATCACGTTAGAACATAATAGATCGCGTTAGATCACAATAGAGTGCATTAGAATGCTATAGATCGCGTTAGAACGCAATAGATCACGTTAGAACACAATAGATTGCGTTAGAACACAATAGATCGCGTTAGAACACAATAGATCGCGTTGGAACACAATAGATTGGCAAGTTTTTTCAGCAGTAGCATTAGGCGCACCAGACGTATGCACATTGTGATTGGGTGACAGATACAAGCAATCAAACAATCTGAAGATGCGCGCGGTGACGGCGGGGCTGATTGAGCATTGGAGCAATCTATAGTTTATGATCGGTCATGCATGGCTGCTTGAGCCATAGTTCATGATCGGCCATGGACGCCGATTTAAGGTCGAGGTGGCTGATGGAGAGCTTGAAAAGATGCCGATATCTCGAGCTGAAAGGCCCTACTTTACAGCCTGGCAGGAATCTTTTAGTTCTGATTTCTGAAATAGGTGATAAGCTCTAGGAGTGGCTTGAAAACTGAAATGCAGCTATATTCCTTGCCTGATGAGCTCAGAGTCTATATATATGCATTTAGATCTGGCTTGGCTCCTGAAAATGATTTTATTCATTGTATTCATTAGGCTCTCTGTGAGCTAGCTATCTCTCTAATCCCATCACCTATGAATGTCAATTGATCAATCAAAGACAAAAGTGCATTTATAAAGTCTCAAGAGAGCTAATGAGCAAGTAATTTCTTCTTGAGACTTGATGTAATTTTTCACTGATGAGAGAATATTTTTATTTTGGCTATCAATAATCACAAGAGAGATACAATATTATATTTTTTTCTATGCTCAAAACTTTTCTAGAACTAATGATTCCTTTTAATTGTCAGATGCTGAAAGAGAAGGCACTAAAAGATGTTGATAATCTGCCTCAGTACTTTGCTTCTGCTGAGTCTGCATCCCAAATGTGAGAATAATATTTAGTTATTTGTTAAGTAATATGTTCTCTAAATCCATTTTCATTAATAATCATGTTTACTTAAGTGTAAATTCACAGATACAAGCTTTGTGGAATCATTTTCTTTATTAAACTCAAAATTTGACTAATTATTCATGTTCTATGAGTTATGTATATCAGATTTGATAGATGAGGTTTGATGTGTGCAATTTAGCCTCTATATTGAAAAGGCTATAGAATACATCTTGCATGTAACAATTTCTCTTGTTAGTGTTTATTGAATGTCATTTTTTTGTTGTGTTGTTTAATAGGGTTCAGTTGGCGGGTTTTCACAAGTTCAAAAATTCTGCTGAAGCTTTGGCTGCTGCTGTAGCCCTCAATGAAGGGAAGGCATGCAAGCCTCTTCGTTCTGTACTCAAGAAGGTCATGAAGACTGAAGTACAGAAGAAACTTCTTGTTCTGGATGCTAAGCTGGGCACATCTATTAAGGTGAGTGTTAAAGATAATTCTTTTGATTTTTAGAAGAAAATGTTATATATATGAATTGGACTGGACAAATTAATTATTGAAACAAATAGTATGTAGTTCATGTGAAGATATATCTTTGTATGTTTTAACGACATTCCTGTTAGGGATTCTCAAGTATTTGAGCAAACAACTGTTATTCATGTTAAGAATGCTCACACATCACAATATTATTTTGCTATAGAGTACAAGTATTTAACACATATGATTGTGTGTTGTACAGGACAAGTTACCAGAGTTAGAGATTGTGAGCAACAGCAGCGTGATGGAGCTCATCCGATGCATCAGAGGCCAAATGGAGTCCCTCATCCCTGGCATATCCGAGAAAGAGGCTTCTGCTATGATGCTTGGCCTTGGACATAAGTCAGTTATTAACTCGTACTGAGACCATTTGTGCCTGAATAATTGCGTATTGATAACATTCTCTGATTTATATCTGATTAAAAGAAAATATGCATGCATTTTTATTGAATTTTAATAGTGTGTGAAACTCAGCTGAGGTTATTTATCTCATTTAGATGGCAAATTTGAATTATCCAAAATCAAAGTTTCTCTGAGGATAAGTAACGCTTCTCTCATTTTTTTTCAATCATAATATGTTTTGATTTGCTAATTCAATCATGTTCACATTGACATGAAAATTGTCATTTTTTACTATCTATTTGCCTTCACTTTCATTATCATTTCATATGTGCTTGCTTTATTTGTGTTTAAAAATCTCCTGCATATTCAACAGTCTTTTGGATTGTTGTTGTAAGCCACATTGTATTTACACTATTTTGTGCATTGATCTTTATATATTATCATTGTTCATGTATTGGTTTGTATAAAAAATCTAGTCGTAATCTACCAGGCTATGTTGTTGATTTTCTACTGCAATGTTATTTTGTGTGCAGTCTTGCCCGTTACAAGCTGAAGTTCTCACCAGACAAGGTTGATACCATGGTGGTGCAAGCAGTCAATCTACTCGATGACCTTGACAAGGAACTCAACAACTATGTGATGAGAGTCAAGGAGTGGTATGGATGGCACTTCCCTGAACTCTCGAAAATCCTGGTAGAAAATACTGCTTATGTTCATACGATCAAACTAATGGGTGAGGCTTTAGCTTCTGTACGTTTTTCTTAATGCATGCATTAATCATATCTAATTAATACTCATTTTCTTCAGCATTCTGATAAATGCATATGTTTTCAAGTAATGTATTGATCAGTATGTTTGAGAAAATTATTTATTATGTAATTGTAATTAACATTTAGTATAACGTTCATGAAATGAACCTAAATTCTACAGGCATGCGAACCAACGCCAGCACAACAGACTTCAGTGGCATCTTGGATGAGGAACAAGCAGAGCTTGTGAAAGAGGCTGCCGAAGTGTCCATGGGATGTCAAATTAATGATGAAGACATTTTGTACATGAGGGAGCTGTGTGACCAGGTAATTGAGTTTCTACTGAGTAATGAGAGCTATAATTATGGCACAGTATCGGGGGCTCCAAGTACAGGTTAAGAGTTAAAAATGGTCACTGAATTCCCCCTGACACTCGAGTTGACTGATAATTTTTCCAAACGTCGAAGAATTTTTCCTACTTAATTGACTATTTGTATCATCTTGGAGTGCATAGATGCTTGTGGGTTAGTATAGACGTCTTTTATTTGTTCATATCTTCTATGAACTGGTAATAGTTTCATAGTTTCTTTTTGTTGATGTTTAATAATTTGCTCATTATGTAGGTATCTTGGTAAAGATATCATACAATTTATAAAATTAATGCCTAATGTCTTTCTAATGAAATCGGTTAACTTGGCGGGTGCTGCCAAATGATAAAATAGCTCGCTTCCTTCTGCTTCTTTTTTCTAATGTACTCTCAAAAATATAGTAACTTAATTATCCATCTCTCCCCTCATAATTATTACCATTTTTTTATACTATGAAACAGCTACTCTTCTTACTCGCTCCTTTGGGATGAGACAGTCAGGTTGTAAAATATGCACTGAGTACGAGTTTTATTTTGCAGATATTGGACCTGACGAGTTACAGGTCGCACTTGTCCGACTACCTGACGCGCCGCATGACTTGCCTCGCCCCAAACCTCACCATAATGCTGGGGGAGCTCATAGGCGCTCGCCTTATTGCTCATTCTGGCTCCCTCATTAACCTAGCCAAGAACGCCTCGTCTACACTCCAGCTTATTGGGGCGGAGAAAGCGCTCTTTAGGGCACTCAAGACCAAGAAGGCCACCCCCAAGTATGGTCTAATTTACCACGCAGAGATGGTCAACCGAGCTCCTGCTGATTGTAAGGTTAGTTGGAAGTCTTTTTCGATTGTAAGGTTAGTTGGAAGTCTTTGTCAAATTCTGCTCCTTCGTTGAAAACTAATGTGCGTTTGTTTTCTATTTTAACCTTAAATTTGCCAATTTTGAGTTTGGATTGCCTTGTGATGAATTTGTTTATTTTGCATTGGAACCCAAATATTCGTTAATTTTAGTTTCCACTTTAACTGTTTATTGTGTTGCTCTCGTATTTATAATATTCTGTGAAACGTTAGATTCTTATGCCTCATTTGATGGCTGTGTTGCAGGGCAAGATGTCCCGCATGTTGGCGGCAAAAGCGTCGTTGGCAGCGCGCGTGGATGCTCTCAGTGAGGAGACCAGCACAAAGATTGGCGAGGACAGTCGAGTCGCTCTGATCAAGAAAGTAAACTTCCTGAGCGCCGGCAAGTCGCACCAACTATCTGGACGCAGCAAACACCAGGCCAAGAGCAAGCCTCACTTTTCCGATAGGTGCGTCCGTGTCTCGTCACGATAGATGAGGGTTGATTTGTTGATTGCTGATTCCCCTTTTAACATTTTTTTTATCAGATCACTCTATATTTTGCAATTCATATGTATAAATTTTGATTTGCAGGAGCGGTGCGGAGAGTATATACCCTGTGAGTCAAGATACCACGATCTCGGCTGTGAAACGCGAAAGAACAGACGATGAAGTGGAGCAGCCTGCTGCCAAGAAGCCAAAAACCGGTAAGTGGCTTCATGACTCGCTCATTCTTTATTAGTTTAATTTTTTTACCTTAGTGTTTGGTGGTGTCATTGTGTTGTGCGGTGCTATTGGTAATTAGGAAACTTATTTTTATTTTTGAATACTAAGCCTCCATTTATTTGGAGGATTTATCCCTAGCAAGCATTGTTTGAGGTTAAGTTGCATTTCTGCAGAGAAACTAGAGCCCGAAGAAGGTGGAGGAGAGAAGGAGAAGAAGAAGAAAAAGAAGGTAAAGAGTGAACCTGTAGAGAGCGTGGTGACGGAAGAAGCAGTTGCTCTCCATGACGTGTCCGTGGAGAAAAAGAAGAAAAAGAAAAAGAAGAAGTGCAAAGAAGAAGACGAACAGGAGTAAACTTTACTGAATTGCAATGTTGAAGACAAGCGAATAACTCTGAACAGCTGTTGCTAAAATAAATTTCTATTAAATCACTTTTATTTATACATGAACAATACTTAAGCAGTTCTTATTTTGGCAAAAATTTCAGAAGTACTCTTTAAGTATGAATTTGATCCGCAAGGAAATATGAATCAGATTCGTGCGGAAATATAAGTATGATCCGAATGGAAGTATGAATAATTCTGATGGAAGTATGAATAATTCTTATGGAAGTATGAATGTGATCCGTATGGAAATACGAATCTAATTCGTATGGAAATATGAATATAATCCGTATGGAAATATGAATTGATTGGCATGGAAATAGGAATGTGACGTATTTCGGCGTTCAAACCGCTCCCAATTACAACCATTTTGGTACTAACTTCTTATATATTTGTGCAATTGAGGGCAATCAAACGATACTTCATGATTTGCTCGCATTTATCGTAAAGTCCAACAATACGCTGATGAAAAGCCTCTATTTTCTAACACTGTGTCCGCTCGTAAGGCATATTTCCCCACGCGGATCAGATGAAGAGATTCAGTGATCATTTCTGCTGGTGCAGCTCGCGTGGCCTCCTGTAGTCCACCGTTACTGAGTCGGGCAGTCACGTCCCGGAAGCTGCTCCTCCCAGGGTCTCCCAGGAAAACCTTGATGCCTCTATTAAAACGATAAGGAATTATTACCTTGATGAACCTGAAAGCGAATGTAAGCATTCGTGTGCCTAGAAATGTCAGCAGGTTATGAAATGTTTGTAATTTACGTGTGGTTGGTTGAAGATATAGGTATAGTGTTCAGTCTGCAAGAATGATTAATCTTGAACTGTAATTTGTGCAGTGAGATAGTTTCATGGAAAATATGCGGCACGATTGGTTACTCGCCTGCAGCGTACTTGTGTTAACCAAGCCAGCACCTCTGCTGCGAATTCAGAATCATAGAGCACATCGCCCACCAAGACGACGTCCCATGCGAAGTCCTCCGTGATGGGATCGGTAATCAGGTTCTTCTGTTCCATGGTGACGCGTTCCATAGAAATATCTTCACCAAAATTGAGCTTTAGATTCTCAGCCACTGCCTCCAAAGCCACTGAAACGAAGATGAGCCAGGCGTAACTTGACAGTAGTACAAATCGTCAAACAAACGTTCGAACTTCTGACTTAAACTCACTGCCCCCCAGATCTTTCCACCGCCCCCAGGGGGCGGTACCGCCCACTTTGGTAAGCACTGCTCTAACGCGAGTTACAC